TCTCTCTCTCTCTCTCTCTCTCTCTCTCTCTCTCTCTCTCTCTCTCTCTCTCTCTCTCTCTCTCTCTCTCTCTCTCTCTCTCTCTCTCTCTCTCTCTCTCTCTCTCTCTCTCTCTCTCTCTCTCTCTCTCTCTCTCTCTCTCTCTCTCTCTCTCTCTCTCTCTCTCTCTCTCTCTCTCTCTCTCTCTCTCTCTCTCTCTCTCTCTCTCTCTCTCTCTCTCTCTCTCTCTCTCTCTCTTTCTCTGTTGTGCCATGTTCGATCGTGCACTCTTGCCGGAATGTTGGGGTGCTTTTCGCACGTGTGTAATTCGTGGGAACATGAGTGGCGTGACACATGACATGACATGACAAAACGAAGTTGAGACTGACGAGAAGCAGTGTACACCAAGGCGTGGTGGTGTTCAGGCCCATGCTACGAGACACAGATACACACGTCACGAAACCAAAGCAAAGCCTGCACAGGGCGAGAGAGTTGGCACAGCGTGGCATGCGCTGCGCCTCGGTGACAACAGATGCGGACAACGGTGCCACGCGCGCGCGTTCTTCCTTCCACGGCAGCGAGTGGGTGCTGGTGAAAAATACGGGTGGATGTTTGCGCTGAGGAGGACATGTGCTGGTGTTCGTGTTGATGTGGCCAAGCGACTGCATGACGAGTTGCTGCTGGGTGTCCACGTGTTACATGTCTCCTGGTGCTGCGCTCGCGAGCGTGTGCATTTGTGCACACAAGTACCAAACGAGTGTCGCTTGCACATGTGTGAATGTGCACATAAAACGACAACGAGTGGGGAAGAGGATCACAAGTGACCTTTGGGAGGTTGCCGCTACGAGCCAGGCTCGTGATAGTCCACAGTGATGCTGTTTGAAAGCAGAACAAAATGCTTCCGCGCCTGCACCGCGAACAGTACAGTGTGGTGAGGGTTGGTTGGTTGGTTGGTTGGTTGGTTGGTGGTGAGGCAACAAGAAGGTTGGCATCAGAAGTGTCGGACAGCAATTCCATGAACTTCGAAATGAGGGCACAAGGCATTGTCAGGAACATGTGCGTCAGTGAAGGAAAAGTAGAGACGACGGACATTGGGCCCGAAGGGGTGTGCGTACCTCAGTCGTGGATGGCAGGAGAACCGGTCGCTCATGCCACGTGAACACGCGGGGAAATTGAAGCACGTACTGCCCGTCCGGGTGGAGCAGAACACTGTCGGTGGTGATGGCAATCGCCATGTTCCGCTTCACTTGCACCACGGGATGAACGCGCACGCTGGCCGGGATATCCGGGATCGCAATGTGCACACGCACAAGCTGCGCCTGCGTGTGTATGTGCATGTGCATGTGTATGTGTGTGTGTGTGTGTGTGTGTGTGTGTGTGTGTGTGTGTGTGTGTGTGTGTGTGTGTGTGTGTGTGTGTGTGTGTGTGTGTGTGCGTGCGTGAGTGTGTGCGTGTGTGTGTGAGTAGAGAAAACGTGCGCGCGCGTGCGTGCGTGCGTGTGTGTGTGTGTGAATGTTTGTGAGAAAGAAGAAAGATGGATGTCGATCGAGATGCGGCGACCAGCACAGTGTTGACGCAGCGCAGCCGCTATGTGCAGCATAGCACACAATCGGACGCAACGGCTGCGTTTTGCGTGGCACTGACCAGTTCGTGAGGGGATTTGGGCACAGGCATCAAGATGGGCATCGCTGAATCAAGTGACTTGCGCGCCGAACCCTGCAGGGCGTGTAGGTGTGTGTGTGTGTGTGTGTGTGTGTGTGTGTGTGTCTGTGTGTGTGTGTGTGTGTCCCATTTAGTTACTCCCCAAGGCCGCACCTATTTCTCATAACAAAACTTGTCTCTCCAATCGGGGGAACAAAATCCCTTTATACAATTCCCAAG